ATGCTGCATGTATTAAGTGTTCGGAGTGCACAAATTATTACCACATGGGCAAGTGTTCTGGAATGACAAAAAATTTATTGAAGTCGATGAACGACGTAGAAATTTCCGAATGGCAATGTAACACCTGCAGGTTGCATTCCCAACGACAGTCTGCGACTCCCGAGGTATCTCAAGGGGCGTCAGAGCTGACCCCAAATGAGGAAAAACTTGAAAGGTTACTCAAACAAAATGAATCTATCAGTGCAAAGTTGACCACCGTCCTTAAGAGGATGTCTTGCATTGAGAGGTCTCTCGAGGTGCAAACTGCGAGGTCCGACGCGATGATGCACAAAATAGAAAATCAGAGTAAAACAATAGCAGGAATCGAGGCAGCCATGAATGATCTTACAGCAAGGTATGAGGAATTGAACGTTCATTTGGATAACCAAGACAAAACAATAAATGAACTACAGCGAAAAATCAGCGAACTAGAGGGAAGGATATCACAAAGGGATGAAGAGGTTGGCGAACTAAGAAAGGCTATCGACAATGCAGAGCTGTACTCTAGACGTCAGAATATTGAAATCCATGGTATAGTCCAATGACCGAATGAAGATGTTATGAACGTAATCAACACAGTGGCAACGAAGCTGGACCTAACACCAGTGACTTCGAATGACATCGAGGCTGCCCACAGGCTAAAAGCTAAAGAAGGAAAAATCACACATATATTGGTGAGATTCACCGAGAGGCGTACACGGGACTTGTGGGTGAGAAAAAGAACTACTCTTAGAAATGAGAACATTTTTATAAATGAAAACTTGACTAGAGCGCTGAAAAGTTTGTTGTGGTCCACCAAGGCACGTGCGAAGGAAAAAGGGTACATGTATACTTGGATGAAGAACGGAAAATTATTCGTAAGGCAGAAGGAGGGAGCGGCGGTGATTCAGATTGAGAGCGAACAGGACTTAATCAAAATTAGGTAATCATGGAATCGCTTTTTGAATCGTTCCGTGAGTGGGACGGATATACGGAAAGTTCTAGAGTGGAAAGAAGTAACGTTGACACTAAATTAAGCTTAATTCATGTAAATGTTAGGAGTATTTACAGACATTGGGATCAGTTAATGTTTATATTATCTACGCGACTACCAAGTTTGGATGTACTTATCTTGAGTGAGGTCAGTGCTGATGAGGCTGGTGTCGCTACATTTTCCTTGCCAGGCTTTCTTTTTTTCTGCTTGTGCCGAGAACAAAGGAAAGGTGGCGGAGTTATGATGTACATAAATGACAAATGCTTGTCAGAAAAGATAGATGTTTCATTTGTACAAGCAGAAGTGTGTGCTGCTATTGTTCACAAAATGAATTTTTCTTATGTTGTGTGTGCTGTATACAGGCCACCCAGTTCTAATATACCTATATTCTGTGATGAATTGGAACAATTCCTTCAAAAATTTAATAACAACAAATACCTAGTTTTGGCAGGAGACTTCAATATTGATGTTCTGAGTGAGAGTAAACAGGGAGTACCGCGTTATTTTGATACCCTCGCTTCATTTGGTCTAGAAAATGTCATCGAAAATTATACGAGGGAGGAATATTATGGTAATAAAATTACAAAGTCATGTATTGACCACATAGTTGTAAGAATTAGTAATTCGAAAACACTGTCTGGAGTCATTAAGCAAAAGGTAGCTGACCATTACATTACTGTACTCTCAATATTAGGCGAAATTACTGCTGAAAATGTAGGTTTAGAAAATGGGTACAAAGTTATACTAGATACTAAAAAAATCAATAATTTAATACAATCGTTCGATTGGAATTCTTTATGCGAGTTCGATCATATTGTAGCCTATGACAAACTAGTGGACACGTTTCAAGATATTTATTCTAAAGGTACTAGAAAAATAAAGTTGAAGAAACGAAAACCTGAGAATGTTTGGATAAACGAGGAAATATTAGAATTGTGTGATCAAAAGGAGAGGCTTTGGAGCAGATGTAAGCAAAATCCCGAAAACGCAGAACTAAGAAATGAATTTGGTGCAGTGCGCAATAAAGTGACAGCAAAAATACGTTTAGAAAAAGGGAAACACTATTTAAATCAATTCACCTCTTCGAGAAGAAATATAAAAAAGACGTGGAACCTAGTAAACCAATTAACTGGCAGAAACTCTAAAAATAGCGTGGATGATACAATTAAAAAAAACTTTCCTGGATTAGATTCTTATTTAACGTCAGATGCTCTTGTTCGGCGTACTTACCTCAGATGACGGACAGCGAACTTTTGAGTATTATAAATGCTATGCCAATAACTAAAACACCAGGATTTCATAATATTAGAGTACAAGATATTCGGTATAATTTTAATAAATTAAAAGACGTTTTAATGAAAATAAATAATGACACCTTTCATACCGGAAGAATTCCTAAGGGCTTGAAGATATCTATTATACGTTCACTGTATAAAAAGGGGAAAAAACAGGAATTGGAGAGCTACAGGCCCATTTCCATTCTACCTGCATTAGCTCATATAATCGAAAAGTGGGTACAACTAACAATGACCAATTTTTGTGATAAATTTAATTTATTTGCTAGTACGCAATATGGTTTTCGACAACAAAAAGTACTATTACACTTTTAGAAGATTTTTTTGTCTGTGTTAATCAAGCACTAGACAATAACAAGATTGCCCTGGCACTTTTTATAGATGCTTTTGATACCATTGATCATCCTATGTTACTTGAAAAGCTTTACAGATTGGGTTTCAGGGGACAGTTTTATAACTTTTTTCAGAATTACTTTAACTACAGACAACAAATGGTTAAAATTATGAATAATATAAGTAGTACAGCTAACGTCGAATGTGGTGTACCACAAGGTAGCACTCTGGGACCAATTTTATTTCACGTTTACATAAATAATTTGGGTATTCTACCTCTACAATCTAAGCTATTTCAGTATGCTGACGATACGGTGCTAGTTTTACCCTCTGAAAACTATGATGATGCTGTTTTAGTCTTCCAAAGAGATATAAATGAACTAATAGGTTGGTTTAACTCAAATGCTATTTCAGTAAATTTTTCCAAAACTAAGTTACTGTGTTTCCAAAATTCTCATAAACGTGTTCATGTGTCACCTAGAATTTTACTTCATTCGACACCGTGTAATAATTGTACTTGTAAACATTTGCCATACGATAATTGTGTAAAATATCTAGGATTATACGTGGACGAACATTTATCATGGAATCGACATGTGGAATTTATGACTAAAAGACTACGTGCCGTTTCTGCATATCTGTACAGAATAAGAAGCTTGTGCAGCGTAAAGATAAGACTACTGGTGTACAGGTCGTTAGCTGAATCAATTCTACGATATGGAATCACTTTATATGGTCACTGTTCTCCATACAAGACAAATGCAATAGACAGAATTCTAAAACATATAGTGAAAAACATTACGTACGGAACTCCGTACGGAACATTAGATATGGAAGATAAAGCAAAAAAGCTCCAAATTTTATTCTTTAAAAATTTTCATAGATATGTTACGTTTATAAATTATTTCTACGATGCAACGTTCAAGGTTTCAGTGGACAAGCCTAGGGACCTAAGGCGCAAAGAAAGGTTTAAAATCCCCAGAATTTACACGCGATACGAAAAAAGAAGCCGAGCTCACTTTATTCCCACCTTATTTAATGAGCTCACTGGGCCTTTAATGAAAATAAATTCGATAAAAGTACTAAAAAAAGAAAATAAAATTGGTGCCTCTCATTACCTCCATAAACACTGCTTTACTCCCCCTATCACTGTATACTTGTCTCTTAATGATTTCGATAGTTGTGTTCGGTTTGCTTTGTGCCGAATTGTGGCTCTGTTTTGTATTAATGTTGGTATCAATGGCCACATTGTAGTCGTTCGATTTTTTATCATGATGTATTGATATGTATTTCGCTGGACTGTCTGGTCCTACGCACAAGCAGGATACTGCTTTAGTAGGCCAGCATTATTTATATGTATTTGTAAAGGGAATAAAGCACATTATTATTATTATTATTATTCCATGTTCCCTTGCGGTCTAGTCGGTTTCAGAGCCCGTTCTACTCCGAGACGTACCCTTATAGGATACGTCTCGCTTAACAAGAATGCAACTGGCATTTAGCGGGCTTGACCAATCTGTTATAAAGTGGCGTGACAACTTTTGGACGTACACTGGAGTCGATAATTTGTGCATAATTTTGTATCTATGTGATTGTATGCATTTTATTTTCAATGACGAACTGTGTACCACTATTTAGGCTATGTGCTGTTTGTGGACACAATAAAATAATGATTATTATGAATTTTTATTCGCGAAAACAGGTGACTTAATTATGCCGCTTTTAAAAAAAATAACTTGAAACAAAATACTTTTATAGTATTAAGTCGCGTTTTTGAATAAGGTATATAATATTAAAATAACTCATTAATTGTTTATTAAAAGACTTAACTGACATTCACAATGCAATTTCGATACAAAAATGAGAACCAACTGTTTCCTGTCAATTGTTTAGCATCAATAATAATGGTTTTTCTAAGCGAACTCTTTAAGGAACAAAGCAGGTTCACACTGAATTGCAGTAAGCTTCATGACTTAGTGGTTTTTAGTGTCATTGATGGCCGAAGTTTGTTGGAGAAATTTAACGATTATGGCACAACGATTTATAGAAATAGTCATATTAAGTCATTCATAAACATAAAGAAGAAATAAAACGTCACTAATAGACAGAGACATTGCGTTTCTTTGTGCTACTGATGTTTAATTTCATATGATACCGGCACAAAATTTCGCAAATGTAATCTTTTCAACAGAATGCCTGTCTTAAAAATGTCAACTCCGGGAATGCGCTACCTAAACTTACGCTTATGTGCTACAGTGAAGGTACATATCAACCTTACTGACCACATGAAAATTTGAGTATCATGTGATTACAAATTATTTAACTATCGTTCGAGCAAAGCGCTTTTTGAACTTCGGCGGTCACGACCACTTGATAACGAAATCACCATCAAGAGGCTTATCGATGTTCAGAATAGACAGCATCTATGAAAGAATAAAGAGAATAAAGAAAGCAATTTAGTACATATATCAGACATATTCAATATCTATGAGAGTTTATACTGGCGTTACTCTTATTAAATGACAATGTTTTTATTTTCCGAACTTCTACTAGAAACAATTCTAGCAAAAAATCACAATTTGTACATTTCTTAGGCATTAGTATTAAATGTTTTAGTTTGCTTTCTTCTACAAACTTCAGTATTCCGAATATATTACATTGTGCACCATTACTTGGAGTCTTGAGTTTGAGTCAATGGTTTAATAAAAAGAAAAAAAAAGATAACGATAAAAACAAGTTAAATAATGTTTTGTTTTTATTATTCAAAAAGCATGGTATTTCTAGCGAGACTAATTAGGTCTCAGTTTTTAAAATCCCTAAATTTTTAGATAAAATATACCTGTACATTTTTTATTACTAGGTGAAATCCCTCAATTTTGAGGAAATGAGTGATCATAGTATGCGGTCACAATATTTTTCTTCATGTCTAAGATGGACTAGGCAAATTTACAATAAGGCATGAAACATTTTAAAGATTTGAATAAAAAATTTAATTTAAGAACGTTGACTGATATAAAATAAAACGTGCGCTTCATAACCAACAAGTAAAGAACATGTCTACCTTTTTTGAAAAACCGGAGACGACGGACGAAAAAGGGGGCAACACACAAAACGTCTTAGAGACGTTTTGTGTGCTGTCCGCTTTTTCGTCCGTCGTCTCCGGTTTTTCAAAAATGTGTAGCATCAACCAGCTCGCCAGACTACTCGCTCTATCTTCAATGTCTACCTTCACGCGTTAAGACTTATATTACAACACATGTAAATATATATATATATTTTTGTACTTAGCACACTTATCATGCGACTGTTTACAATGGTGAACCATATTAAAAACGTTTTGCTACAAAAATATATATTACCTGTGTTGTCTCATTGTAGTCAAACTTTATGTCCGTTCCTTCAATGGTTACGCTCGCTGGCGCAGTGGAGACACCGTAGACGACAACCCTGCCTAGTTTCAGGTTGCCTTGAAATCCTCGTTTGTGACAGCTTACATGCAAAAGGTCCTGAGAACAAAAATATTGACTGCGTTCATGATTTAATTTAAATTTACAGGTTTCCACTAAGATACCGATTCGATTTTATTTAATACTGCAGCTTTGGTCTTCACGGGACCTTTCTTAAATCGCGTGAGAAATAAGTGCTCTAGAAATACCTAAAATGTTTCTAATACATAATTATTTTTACCTGAAAACTCCGAAGAGCGCAGGGCAATGACCATGTAACGCGTTATTCTGATTGTACCAACATGCTTCTAATTTTCCAGCTTTAACTGTTCTTTCGTTTCGGCGGAATCCTTCTTTGCTTGCAGGGGTTAGTTACATCGCTATTTGTGCTACAATGTGAACGTATGTATTCTGTATTTAGGGCAAGGAAAGGCTTGAAAAAAAGCCATGCCCAGCCGCCACATCCTGAGAGGCTAAGCAACAATGATTATAATCGCGCCTATGAACAAGATTTTCTATTACGAAGAATCCATGGTTCTGAGGTTTATTTACGGTAAAATTCGATTTATGTTTCCCGGAAAGTAGTTTCTTTGGTGCAAATTTGGCATTAAATGAGGTACACCGTTCCCCGAACTTTTAAATTTCTGAAATTCGACGTTTATTCAATTTTGTTGCGTTTTTTTATTCTTTATAAATCAGAAGGAAAATAAATAATGCCCAAACACACGAAAAGACACCGAAGGCCGTCGTATTTGTAAGCGAAATTTACTAAAAATCTGCAAGATCATAAATGCAACAGCCTCCTCTTATTGACGGGAAGCCCAAATGGCATATTCTGAACTTAAAACTGGAAGAGTACAATAACATACATAGGGTGACATCTGTCTTGACCCTAAAATACAGCAGCGGTGACCAGATGTATTCTCGAAATTCTCCGAGGTATAGGAACATATTTGCGGAGCCTCCCTTTAGGACTATGGTCACTGACAAGGCGAGAACGGCACTCAGAAGCTACAGCATCTGCCTCCCCCAGAACGAGCATGCTGCCTTCGAAAAGGCTTCCGGGCATCTTGGAGCTCGAGCACGAGGGCACAGAAAAATCACCGAGGAAGGCGACGAGTGCACTCTGGAGGCCCGACGTTTAAAACACGCCCTGCCGTTCTCGCTCTTTCAGTGACTACAGTTCTGACTCTATGATCTGTCAATAGTATTCCGAAGTTTTCCGAGTATTTTTTTAATCCTTACCGCGATGTCACATATAGGAGTGTTGTGCAGATATCCGAAATAACGAACACTTTACCGACGAACAGTGTTCGGGTTTTTTCGGTCTGGTTTTAAAACGAAAAGGGTGCCAATGAAAGTCATAAACGAAACAAGAGACACATTCAGTTGAAATAATTTATCCTAACTTAATGGTTATATTATTTGAGCCGCAATTTATAGAGGTGTCGAGAAATACGCAACTCTTCACACATTCGTGAAAAAAAAAAGCTTACCCTGACTAGCAGGAACTCGTAGAGGTTGTACTCATTTCTTTCCACGGTGTCTGAAAAAAACGTCGCAGTAATATAGGCGAGGAGTATGCAGTGTTTTAGACGTTATCGAAAAATAAAGTAACAAAATACGTTACTCGGTAATAGGAAATTTTACGGAAGGTATTACCGGCCTATGTTACCACAAAATAAAAGGAACCCGTTACAGTTACCGTTACCGATAAAAAAAACACGTTACTTTTGTGTTACTTTTTAAAATTATGAATTAACATGATTTATTGTTTTGACGGTACAGGTATGCATAAACGCCATACTTCGAAAAAGAGAAATTTGTTTATGCGGAACTGAACAGAACTGCTTCATCATTTTTTACGGTTTTACCTAAATACAAAACAAAACGCAAAGAAAAACGCTAGAATTTTAAATATTCGCATAACATTTTTTAAAAGAAACATAGCACTGTAACTGTTAAGGTTAAAAAAACCAAGATCAGTGGTAGTATGGCTGAATGATGATATACGTGGCGCTGTCAAAACCAAAGAGCTTCTGTGCAAGCGCTATCGACGTGCGCCTAGTAACGAACGGTTGAGAGTGGAACTTAAGGCCTCGTGTAATAGGGTAAATGCTTTCATAAGATCTGCAAAACGAAACTACTCTTCAGAGAAAATATTCAAAGCTCGTTTCAACTCTAAAGAGTAGTAACCGAGGTTGTAGAATTAACAAATTAACTCTAAGAAGAATTGACGAGTTGCGTGGTAGCTCGCGAAAGAGCGTTTTAGAATTGATGCAGAAAAGTTTTGGTCCTAACCTCACTACAGCAGTGGGCTCATTTAATGAATATTTGGCCACTGGCATCTATGAAAGCAGCCGTGATGGTGCAATGTACATACGTCAATGACGGGAATGTGACTACAACTTCTGCAATACTTTGTACGGTTTCGCAGACCAACTTACGATATATTTTATCCGGCCTTAAACGACATACGTCTGCTGGACTTGACGGCATATCTGTCAGGGATCTCTGCGATAATGTTGAGTCACTCGAGAACGTGCTTTGATCTCTTATAAACAATATAATATTATCGGGATTGATGCCAGGCGACTTTAAAACTGCAATCGCAGTACCGATCTATAGAGGCGGCCGGCGTAATCAGTTGTCCTTGTATCGACCATTTCGGTTCTGCCCTGTATTTCAAAAATCCTCGAAAAAACATCTGTTTTGTATGAGAAGTTTTCTAGATAAACACGCTATCATATCACCCTCACAGTACGGTTTATTTTTTTATCGAGGCACGTCATCCCTGTTGGACTTGTTTTCAGATTCTTTGCATTCGTCGTTTGACAACCACTCTTATGTCTGTGCGCATTTTCTTGATGTTACAAAAGCGTTTGATTCAGTGAACCATGACATTTTATTAGATACGCTTAAGGGGGGGGGGGGGGGGGTCCTCGCTCGTTTGCTTAGCCTTAGAATTTCTTTGTGCGCACGTTTTCAACTCGTGTTTGTTGGCGAAGCTTATAGTACAAAGGCACTTAGTTAGTACACTTAGTTCTGGAGACCCACAAGGTTCCGCGTTATCCCCTTTTTTATTTAATGTAAACGTTAACTACCTTTCTCAAGGGGGTATGTGTAACCTATTGCAATTTCCGGATGACACTGATTTTTTCTTGTCATACTGATATTGCACATGCTATCCTGGACCTGCAGAGAAATGTCATTACTGTCATGAATTGGTTTACAAATAACAAGATAAGTGTAAACGCCTCTAAACCACAGCTGGCATGTTTCCGCAGCCCGTAGAAAAAAGTCAAATTGTTTCCGCCTTTGTTTTTGCACAAATACAATTGCGTATTATCTTGCTGCGACCCTGTTCAATATGTCTCTCCTGTCAAGTATTTAGGAATATACTTTGATTCTGACATGTCTTGGACTACGCACCTCTCTTTTGTGTCGGAACGACTGAGAAGTGTATCTTGTCAGTTCCATAACCCAAAAGTGTTCCTTCCGTTTGCAAGTTGAAAAATGCTCATGCGTTTTATGGCGTATAGTGCTTTTAGGTACGGTGTTACTCTATTTTTTAACTGCTCTCGACAATGGCATGCCAGAATTGATAGCATTATGAGAGGGATGTTAAAAAGCAACTGACAACTTGTTTAGTTTACTCAAATTGCCTTGTTTTTAATCGTTGTTTTTTTCAGACGGTCGTTTTTCGTTACTTCTGGTGCAGTGAATTTCAAACTGAGAGGCTGGTCCCACGTGCATTTAGGAACACTACTCGCTATGAAATTCCTCGTATCTATACTCATTATGTGGAAAGCATTAGCTCATTTTACGTACCAAAGATCTTTAAGGAACTACCAGACACATTATTCTTAACCAGTTCTAACCATAGGCTCAAAAAGAATCTGAAAAAATTATTTCATGATACCACCAAGTGATAGATCTACAGTTGACATTTATTGAGTGTTGTTGCCTATATACTTCGTTTTTATTCTGTTGTTACCTGCTGTTTGTGTAGGGACTGGGCTGTACTGCGAGGTCATGCCACACAAGCCTCCCTTGGCTCGGGCAGACGTGTATATGTATTTGTCTATTCCTACGAATAAAAGTTTATTATTATTCTTATTCTTATTATTAACATGGCGGCCTACAAACACGAAAAAATGAAGTGCAATTGTTTTAGGTCTTGAAAGAAGATGTAAGGAGTAACGTAACTACGTTACTCATTACTTGAAACAAGTAACGTAAGCCCGTTACCCGTTAATGTTTTGAAAAGTAACGAGAACAATGGAGAGTTTTAGGGAACCGTTTTTGCACATTCTATACGTATGCGGTATCACACCCGCAATTCGTACCGGAGGGCCTTTTGTACCGTATCGGATGTGCAAAAACGGCTCTCTAAAACTCTCTATTATCTACGTCACCGTAAAAAAATAACTTAACGTGTAACCGTAACGCCGCTACTTGTAATGCATTACCACCAAAACTGGAATTGTGCTGTATTTGTAACAAAATGATAAAAGATGACTTGACATTAAAATTGTATTAAACGGAGAAAATATGGCAATGACAAGAAAATAATAAATAGGCTGATTGATTCAAGATACGAACTCATTATTTTATATGGGCACGTATGTCATGTCTGAATGAACAATATTGGTTTTGGAAAACATGACTTACCCTAACCGATGCTCTGAAAATATTTTGGAGATAAATTAAGCAGAACTGATACATGAAGAAGAAATGTTCAGTTATGACGTCATTTGTCTCTGCCTACCCCAGTCCCACTTGACCAGAAACAGCTGGAAACGACAACGAACTGCCTTAAGCACGTGCAGCGTGTGCTAGAAAATACCATTGGTAGGGTCGCAATATCTCGGTGCTTGTGAAGTAAGCCTCGCGTGATTACAGGGCGGCAAAGAATGTCTTCGCGTTCCTGTTGCACTTCCTCCAGGTTGGCCCTCGTTGGTTGTTTCTGTTTATGCACAACTGTGCACAACTGGGCCAGACTGTAAGTCGGCCTAATTTGTTTTGCATTCGCAAATGATTTTCCTCTTGTGATTATCACGTGATTCTAAGATGTCCGGGGTTTCTGTGTGACAAGAGATGACCTGTGCGTGCCAGTTTTCATGCACGGTTGCTCTTAAGGCGTCAGGTCGTCTGCAACTCGAAACTCCAGGAAAAACAATTCAACGTACGGAAAAAAAAAAATCATTTAAGGAGGCAAACGGGGACGAACCGCAAGTTCGAGTTCACAGCAAAAATTTACGCGGTCTGGCGGCCGACATGAAGAACAAAGGAAAACTATTTAAATGCACGCCTTTGGAGATATGAACAGACTCGCACCTATGGAGTCTCCGTCGTCCCAAAACAATTCTCCTCGAGCCGTTCCCTTGATATCAGGTGCTGCAAGGAGCACGATTGGATTCTGTCGACTGTGGAGAAAAACAAAAGGCAGTAAAAAAAGCTTTTTATCCATCTTCTAGGATTGCATCTGAAAGGTAGCATATAAGGTGGTAAGCTGAGAAAGTTGTTTGCTGTCCTTGATTTTTGTTTTTTTTTTGTGCGCCAGTGTTTCATCATATTCAACATCGCGTAGATGCAGCTTGTTCATGTCTTCTTGAAAATCTGTCCCTTACGGTCTCTCGGAGTGAACCACTAGACATCGAGGCACTCCACATATCTGAGACTTGTTATCTCTCTGCCAGAAATTTCAGCTTGAGCGCTGTTTTATATCGAATTGGGTGCACAGACGACAACTGCGGAACGTCTGGTTAAATCCTTGGACCATGAAGATTCAGATATTGTTCCAAAAACGTGATCAAAAATACTTTTAGCAATGAATGTGGTGTAGGACTGGGTTTCATGAGAAAAACAAGACGCCACGCTCAACCGACACATATGTCATGTGACATCACGATGTCATTAGACGTCACGTGACGTGACATAAACTCACAATATGTGGCCACCTCATTTGTAGCACATGCTCTTCGTCTCCAAGTTTGTCAGCTATGACCAAATCAGGCTTCAATTTATTGAAATATCCCACCGAAAGCGTTACCTCTGGGTCGTGGTGAGGGCTGGCTCCTGGCCCGGAACAACGAAACCTCCGCGTACCAGGATGTTCACGACGTTCAAGGGCGAAGGAAAGGTCCGGTAGCGGCCCTCGGGATGATGGTACGGTGTTCCGCGATCGAGGTCAAACCATACACCGGCCGGGACGTATGCATTGACTTCCGTCTGGTTCTGCAGTTGAGAACAGCAACTAACACTCACGAGGGTGAAGGCTCTTTATAAGTTCGAAAAGAAGTGTAAGCAATTTTTCCGCTTAAAATATCTGTATTTCTCATTGAAATGACGGTGAGAGATAGAAAAAAAAAAAGCTACAGGAACAGGTACCTAGCACCATAAACTTTTCACCAACAGTGGCCATACGCACATAGAGAGGACATGAATATTAGAGGCATTGAGTGTCACGAACGATTTGCAGTCAGTTATTTCCTCCGAGTCCGTCTCGGCGTCCCGGCATTGTTTGTATCCAGAGATGTAAAGACACTGAATGTATGAATTTCACGTACTAAACATTCTGGAAGAAATCAGTAGTAAAGGTGTCAGGAACCGAAATACCCGTACCTAACAACGTCTTGAAGTACTGATTTTCTGGTTTATAAATTTCAATGTAGGGTGACGAAAGCACATGATGACGCATTTTTTAATGGGCGAAACATTTACACTGTGACATATAATATACAAAACCGAAATTAACTTTTGTGGCGAGAGAGCAACAACGTCTCATAGTAAAAATGTATTTCGTTTTTGCCCCTAACCCTTAATGTCTGACGGCGTAAATATTCAATAGAAATGATAACTTTCTGAAAAAAATGTGAATTCTGTGACATACGCGTTAGGTTCTAATAAATGTTTGTTCTTTTTGCCCTTGAGTTCAGTGATAATTTAAGTGTCTTTTGAACAAAATACGGCTCACAAACGCTATGCCGACAACGAGATAATTGACTTACACTACCCAATCTAAAAAAATACGATTCAGTCCGTGTTCTGAATTTGAGACGTTCAGATCCCATATTGCAACATGCCAATGCTGTTTGAATGCACCCACTTCGTACAATGCCGGGTTGAACATCAGGCCCGGTCCCCAGAGGAATTGCTCGTCAATGTCGTATGTGCTTGGATCTTGAGGGAACCTAAACGAGAACATCATAATCAATTTGAAAACAGTTAATAACTTCAATTTTCTTTATCTTAAATGTAGGCAAGCAAACAGATTGTTTCCATCATCACAGAGCTTCATGTCTCAAAACTATATCGGACTAGATTTAGGAAATTCACCTACTTGAATCTGCTGCATCTTTTTACTTTAAGAGCACGATGCCGCACATATGTTTACAGTGAAAGTTGTGTTATTAAAATGTCTTTTGTAGAAGGGTCTGCCAAAAATGCTTGTGCTGAAAGAGTAACGGTATTTTATTAGAACGCAGCAGCTGCTTGGTTTAGTTGACTTGCTTTATTAAGATGTACGCACACAAAAAGAAGAGTTTTATTAGTACACTTCTAACTTTACCACCAGTTTACTCGACTTGGCGGCCACAAAGATATGCTGGTTTGCTTGTGAAATTAAGCGACTAATAAACGTTTCAATTTTTTTTTTATTTATAGGCTTTAGATTGCAGAGGGCATTTACGAATCTGAAGGCCAACCTCCATACTTAGATATCCAACCCCTGGTGAAATAAACGCATCGAAAATTGGACGCTACCAGCCAAGTATGTCACTTCCGCAGGAAATAAAATAATTGTTATGTGCATCCAATATCACTTCGCAACCGTGCTAACTTTAATTAAGTTCATCGGGCGATCCAGAAATTTTCACTTTCGTTATCGGAAAACGCATAAGTGTTTTTCTTTTTTTTCTGTATGGGAATGAGGCATCGTAGCCGAGAAGCCTCCGCAACTTGCTCGTGGGAGCAGGCAAGTTCTAAGCACATTTTTACTGATTTCCCTATAGCAAAACCTTATTTCTTCCCCGCCTTCACCGTGAGCAAAAACGAACCCCAGGAGAAGTACTGCCGCTGCCCATTTGGTCGCTCTGCACGGCGGAGCCCAGCCTATTTGTTTACCTTGTAAATTGGAAAATTAGTCAGTGCAACACGACTGATAATTGGGGGCCATTAGCGCGCATCATGGAGTGCACAGCGTGCCATTGTTTATGGTTGATTCTGATTGTTGTTGCTCGTTTATATCATATTTTCAGCTATAGTGCTAGCTACTTTAAGCAGTCCCTCAATCTTTGTCGTCACGTGAGTAGGTAACGATGGTAATATTGATACCATATGACGATGATAAGATGTTTAGTGTGGGTTTTGTGCAATGACGTGTACTTTTTTGTTTTCTCTGAAAGTCAGCCGAGCAGAAACGTTCACCTACGGGCTGTTTTACTTAGGAGAAGAGTCTACAAAGTACTAGAAGTCTTCATTTCTGCGTTGCGAAATCACTGTTTATGGTTCCCGGACTGCCCTCCGCAAGAAAAAAAATAATAGGCTAATATATAGACTTGCAGATAGTATTGCATACGGTTCGAAATTTGAAACTCTTTCTAACAGTGAAAATTTGACCCCCCTTCGAATATTGCAGGTTCAGAAATTATGGGAATTCGTAGTGTTAATAAAATATTATTATACTAACAATTTCAAGTATAGAGTTAACAAACAAAAATATCTGAGGCATTCTGGAACCTTTTCCACTCATCTGGCGTACACAAATTACGGAAGGTGTTTAAGAAACTATTATATTACATTCTACTTTAATATACCTCCGGAAGAATGGCACGGCTTGCCGTCTCTGAAAGACACGAAACAGGAATGAATGGAGTGGTGCTCTCGTTATGTCTAGGTGTATTCACACTGTTGCTTTATTTGCTGTTCACTTTACCTGTGTTAACATTGTATAGCCTGTTCCGAGCAAAATGTTCCTGTTTCTATTGTTTTAATTATTTTGAGCACGCTTTTGGGTTGCCATTCTTACGCACATAACTACTTGCGCGCTTATGCGGGCCTTCGATCAACGTATGTACAAGAATGGCTAAATCAACGATTTATCATTATTATTTTCTGCCGATTCTACATCTTAAACAAAGTAGGAACACAGATTTGGTAAATAAATACTCCTACTATAGGGAGCGTGCGACACCTAAAGGGGGTACGCCTCTCCGCTCTGCAGCTACACATACGACAGCGTCTGCGTCACGTCTTCACGCTCAGGACTTGACCTGCAGCGTCTTAACCCTGTCTGCGCCTCCCCGTGGCCGCATTTCTCGATCTCGACCTGGAGTAAATGTTCGGCACCTCGACATTTGAAAACGTGTCAATGTCCAGCGTTGCTCTTCATGTGTTCTCACGTCATTCGACACGCAGGAGTTGCTCGAACATCGATATTAATCGTCCCCCGTAAGCGGCAACGACTGCAACACACCGCCATGTTTGTATTGTTCATCTGCGCTAGAACATGCCTCTATAAAGTGTTTGTATGTCTGGCGGTCCGAACATAACTACGGGACAACATTTAATATTCTCACTAAGTGATTAAAAAAGTATTTTTCACTCCTCTTATTATCAGAAAGCTCTTCGCTCGTTGGCCAGGGTTGAAGAGACTAACAGATATTGAAATGATCGCGACTGCTTTCACTTGTGCATGGAGGGGATGTGTTATTAATTTCCAGGTCTTGCGTAAACGAAAGTTAGCGTCGACGCTGTCCTTGAACGTTTGATATAGCACTGTGCTGAACACTGATTAGAAACTAAGGTCGGTTGCTAGCCGGGATGTCTCTTCCAAATGCGTCTAAAAGGTGCCACGCCGCCATGCCACTGTCTTGTCGCACGCTTCCAATAGTCAGTTACAAGTTTAGAACGCGCCGGATGCTCCTCCTACACCTTCATTGTCGCCAGCCACTGCTTTTTCGGGATGCGCAGATAATCCGCTACCCAGGTGCTCGTCGCGATAACGTCGATACTTCTCACCGCTACTGCCTTTCTTCCGCTCCAGTCTACATTTTACTGGATCTTACATTGGAGTAAATATTTTGTACCTTATTTATATTCAGAGTCGATCTTTCTGTGGTACAAGATATGTTCCGTGAGAGTAGCTCGGGCCTAATCGAAAAAAGATATGGTACACAGCTCTGGTTGTTTCGTTGGCGCGATGCGATGCTGTGTCTGATACGTGGTGGTGTTTATTTGTCACATCCATTCGTTGCATCTGAATGTAGGGCTAGATTAAACTTCACGTACTCCATGAACAACGGCCTTGCGACGGTCTCGCCTAGGACGTGGCTCCGGTAGAAGAGTGTGTACAGGTAAGGCAGGAGCGTGTACCGCATCATCAGGGTGCTTCGAGCTGCGTCAAGCACCACAGGTCCCATGCTGTATGGATCTTGGTCCTGGAAAAAGTTTAGACGGCCAGGATAAAATTTCATTGCATTGACTAAGCATTGCTCAGAATGAATTTGTTGTGCTCACAACCCACAAAAACATCATTATTTTTATTTACGCTTTAGCAGTCGCAAAAAAAGAAGAAGAAAGAATTAGTGCTAATTCTTTTAGCTCTCGGTCAAAACTTGGTTTGATATCGCTTATGGGGCGCTAGCATTTAATATATTCAGGCTCTGGGGTGCGCAAGGCACAGCACACTTGCTTTGCTCCGAAGGTTGTTCCGGATCCCCCTACAAATGGAGATTTATTTTTGTACGATGCAATAGAAGAAGGTATATGGACACAACTCAACAAATTTTTATATACAGGGTCGCGTAAATGTTTTATTTATTTTAATATATCAAACAAAATCTAGAGTGAAGTATAACATATCACGGTTCCAAAAAAGGCTTTTCCGGGCGATTGTTGTTGTTTTTTTGCTTTTTGTGGCTTGCGCTATCCCGCCGAAAGCATTTTATTAATTTGTTTATTCTCTTTTTTTCTAGGATCATCCGCGGTCCATCAACGCAAGAGACATCTTTTACGCCATTTGACGTGTGGTTGCTTTCCATATCATATCCTAATAATATTGCTTTTCCGCGCTACCAGGCTGGGTGTTGGTAGAGATTCGTAATCGACTGAATGTGCAACGCCTCAGGGATGTTGTATAATGTAAACGCGAGTCGCATCTGTTCTTTGCAATTTTCCTTTGAGTGGGCGTGCGAAAGACTTTGAGAGGGAAAAAATCGCATAGTCACCACATTTCGTGTGCTCCAATTACAATATCTTGCACTATACCTTCTACAAGTTTCAAATCCTCATTCACAAATTGAAACGAAGCACATCGATCGGCCTATACACGATTCTTGTAACTGTTTCGTAGGAATTGAAATCAGTCGCCGCTCTATAGTACGCATATGATACATGTTGAAATGTTGAAATGTTTCGCGGTGTAGATGATCAAATATGCAAGGATTTTTTTTATTATCGTTCGTTGTGACAAGACGTGACAGAATTTATGAATGTCATATAATGTTAATGATGATTTTATATGATACAGGCTTTACTGTACATTGATAAAACAGGCATTTGTTAATGTGTGCTGTTTATGATAATTTTTATGCGCAGACTAGACAATCGGTTGGGACTCTCTAAGGAGCAAACATGTAGGTAATGTGTAACTAGTGACAGGTTACTTCTACCTAGTTAAGTTTTTCGGTAACGAGTAACGGATTTAGCTACTTTTCTGGAAAAGGAACGAGTAACGTACTTAGTTACTTTTGAGGCCAACTAACGCGTAGCGGTATTTTGTTACTTCTGAAGAGCCACCTGTACAAGACCGTCTAAACAGCCTAGTTCTAATTCTGACTTGAGTATGTGTCTATTCTGACAAAGGCAGATGTGCGACCCAAATAATAACTAGACGGTATGAAATGATGTGAATATAGCAACGTTTATAACTGAACACATCAGTCGAACTCTATATCTCGTAATGTCCTTCACTCAGCCAATGCAATAATGTTACTTGGTTTAACCCTTCTAAAATTGAGTACAAATCGAATGCAAACCAGGAGGTAGCCAACACGAACAGGCACAGAATCCATTGTTAATTTTTAAATTTAGAAACAGTGAGAACAAAAGTGGGGAATCCCAGGTTCACCAGATCTTCCTGAAGCACAACACTGCCGTTTCTTCGAGCCCGTTAGTAGGACGAATCTTCAGCGCAGCCCGAAATGTATCCTCAAGGAAGCGGAGAAACATAATTAATGCAAAGTTGGAGAGGCAGCTACTGCTAAAGTGCAAAACAAAAGCAGTCCTGTGTATATGACCGTCAAAGTAACAAGAAAGGTAACTCGTAACATGTGAGATAAAGTAATGCGTTAAATGTGAGAATCGCTAAAGAGTAACTCATATATTTAAGTTTTGAGCATGTAACAAGGAACAACATCTAGTTACCTTTTTGTTTTGGTAAAGTGCACATCCTGCAGATGTTCAAACGATTTCGCGCGAACGCCTACCGGCCGGTAGATCAGCGCCTGATTGCGACCTTAAACAGCAAGTCAGTCAGGTTAGGCGTGTGCCTTCTGTCATACGCGTGTAGCCTCGCTGACCTGCACTTTCACGTCGTAATAAGGCGCTGATCTACCGGCCGGTAGGCGTTCGCGCGATATTGTTTTAAAATCGGGAGTCTGTACATGTCTGCAAATGAGTAAGTCCTTTTTTTTTCAAGTGAAATTCGCCTATGCTGGTACGCACTCGAGAATACGTTATATTCTTCTGTCAATGCAGTCCCCCTTTCGGTATGGAAACAATGAAGCAGTTTTAAACTCAACATCTACCACGCATTGCTCTGAGAGCCAAAGTCGAGGACTTACTGAGTGATCATGTTCATTCTCTGTGCTTACCATTGCATCGTTGGTGTTATGGTTTCTGGAGAAGGGGTAGAACGCTCCGAGGGCTTGCCAACGAGCGCAGAGCTCCACCGTTGTGTTGGAGTTGAAGCCGCAGATGTCCGCACCGACCAGGGGTATGCCGTACAGTCCGAAACTCAGCACGTCTGAGGAAACATCGAGGGCGCATGTTGTAGTAGTGTGGAAACCGACGCTAATGTTCCGAGTGTTCATTCGCCCTTTTGCTGTAGCCAGCTGGAATGACTTTGAAGTAGATGTGTCTAGTAGTAAAAGTCTGAAGCTGCCTTGGTAGGCTGGAGATAAAATCTCGAGAAGCGTGCCGAACCAAAAGCGCTTGTAACCTACACCTCTTTCCTCCGTTTGTATGACATTCGTGCTGTTTCAAGATGAAGTGTTTATATATTTGGAAAATAATATTTTCAGCGGTAGATTTATTTTAATAGAATTGTTCCCCGAGAAAACCTAATTCTTATGATAAAGGAAATTCTTAATTCCAGCGGGCTGCCGCTTGCCAGTAGCAATACTAAGTGTCACCCTGCGAAATTTAAACAATGTATATACCGAATCAGAAACTGGAGAAAACAGAGATGTCTCAATTTTTCTAATAGAAATATTGTCAAAATAAAACATGCACATGTGATTCCAGTTGCCACGAGCAGATTCCAATCAATCATGCGTATTGCTGGTGCTCTTGCAGAACACTTTATTACGATAATTGTTTTTAGATTTTAAGTGAAATGTTTCGACTTGTTGCTTCATTTAAACATATTACTTTAAAAAATACACCTGAAAGTAGTATATTGCTTTGAATGTATACTCGATAATTTTAAGATTATGAAGATATCTCTTATACTGGTGTATTGATGTAAAAATTCATTTCGCGTGCGTCAAATTCAATTACAAAGGGCTTTTTTTATGAAATGAATTAAATAAACCATTGCTTTGCAGGTTTAAACATAAGGTGATTTTATTTTTTCCCCGGGAAGATATCTTGTAGTTCTTAGGGTTTCCAGTTAAAATACATTAAAGAACAAAATTAATGCTCGCGGTAAGCGTTTTGAGCATTCTGTCGTTTACGAGAAATTAAAAAAGAAAAAAAACATAATTTCGTTAGCGTTTAATAGTTAAACCACAGGTTGCCAGGTTTTACGTCTTCCTTTTTCAAGCTACTATTCTATGTTGTGGGACATATATTAACTAGAAAATTCAGATTACCTGATGCAAAGAGGGGTTCTCTTGAGTTCTCGGGTTCTCGGTGTGCTATGATTTTTTTAATGTGAGATTTTGACATAATATTTAAGAGAACTACAAATTGTATGTATATAAACGAAAACTCTTTTGACACCTCCGAATATTTGACGCAGTAAAAATCAGCTAGGCAATATCCGTCTCAATTGGAAATAGTCTTTGAGAAGTAAATTTTAATTGTACGAGCAAATTTATGTAATAATTGTAAATAATAACTTGACGTTGTTTGTTATCGATGAGTGGCGTATTTATTGACTTCTGCTCTGTTAATATATAAGAGTCTTAAAAACAAATAAAAGTGCGTAAAAAAATTAAAACCTCTGAAATTTCATTTAGTGAGCTTGAAGGGGACGCAATTTCATATATAAAAAAAACCTGAACTCAAAAACAAAAAAACAAAAAAAAAACAACCTCTTCGAATTTCTTCTAAGCTATCTAGGAGCCATCTAAGTGTTTTTAATGAGTGAAGCGGCCCAGTTCGAGAAGGAATTCATATAGAACTCTTAATTAACTCAACTTTCCAAATGTAAAACAGCTAGACTGAGAACAATAGCCTTCGAAATATTTTAGCATGTTCATGATGTAATACAAGTGAATGTTTTTGTTATTATTTAAGAGCGTAATTAGCCAGAGTCAAAATAGGGTCTTGGCGAGCGTTCAAACTCACTTGGTACGCTTAGCCTCAAGTCCTTCCAGGACGACTCAATGTCTCCAGACCAGTGTCCAGACCAGGCCGCCTGTCCGGCGGACGTCGCACGGGAAATGACGAATGGTCGCTTTTGTCGAATAGTCGCAAGAGCCCTTGGCGATAAAAGCGGTGAGAAATCAGAATTACTCCTTCCACGCTGTGCAACATTTTATTCCCTTCTCACGTTTAAACATTCTGTCAGTTATGGAAATCGGAGTAATTGGTTGCTGCCTCACTAAATAAATCGTTACTCTATTGAAAAAAAAATAAAGTAGAAAGTTTTATGTGCAGTGAAGAACAAGGCGCGTACAGTAATCGATAAAACCAAGTTTTTTTTTCTAGATTACGTTTAGATTCTGTTACTTGTACACTATTTACGTGGACTGCTATGTGAATTCGCAGCCATATATAATAGCGTGTGCCAAAAGTATTACAATATTGTTTCGACCCGAAAATAAAGTACGCATTTGCCGAATTCCCATTCGCTGCCCAGGCATAGTGCCAGCGGTGCGAGCAAGATGCCGAAGTTTACGAACTAACCGTTACTTGATTTGAAAGTAGTAAGTGATTTTCTAAAATGTTAATTGGGAAAATGACAGCCAACGGAGATCTCAAATACATGAGGCTGAACGGCGCCAGTTACAGAAAACGGGCGAAAATGGGCGTCATTTTCTCATTGAAAAATATTAGAGATTCGCGTAAAACGTTTAATTGAGATGACGGTCAGTTCTAAAACTTGGCATCTGGTCCGGAATGCTTGCGCTACATTTGGGTGGAGAATGAGCATTTGGCGATGCGTAGTTTATATTTGAAGAGAAAAAACAACAAAAAAAAAAAAACATTAACAGTTTGTTTTGGACATTCTCTAGGAAAACATTAGCCTGTGCAGTTGTGAGACTACGAAATCTGTAGATTTGTTTTAGAAATATTTTTACCATGATGCATTGTTTTTACTTGAATATGCTCTGTAACTGAGAGCATAATGAACGCGGTGTGTGAGGACAATCCAACATCTTACTGGCTCCACAGCCAATACAATGGCGGCCTGCTAAGGAGGCGGAAGTGCCAGGCAAGAAACCGTCTCGTCCACGCTTTTTGTAACCTTGAGTGACTATAGCTGCATTATAATCATACCCACGAATGGCATTATGGTTCCACCAATTACTAGTCTCTTTGATAGGTCAAAATATTTGCACTAAGGTTTTACGCTTAATGCGCTCGGCCATGGGTCTGCATTCGGGTATTCTTTGCATGAACGTAACTACGTGTTTATCAGCACTGTATAAATTTCAGAAATGCATTTACATAATTATACTACATCCTCGATGCGTACACCCCATTAGCCATCAACCATCTTTCACGTTCCATTGGAGGCTAAGTGCAGTTGACCAAAAATATTAACTCATCTATACCCGTGACACCCATCACAAAATACGAGTTGAAGGCGAAATCCCTGGTGCCGATTCATTAAAGACAGTGGCATGATCTACTCAGTGAATCACCTCTCTTAATGTGCTGAGTCGTCCTCCTTAATGTGCTGAGTCATCCTTCTCAGTGTGCCGAGTCATCATATTATTCCGCTTAGTCATCCACTGAGTGATCACGTTTTGATACCTTTCGTGTCACCGGCGTGTTTTCGCTCAGGCACTTTGAAGGTCAACTCATCGACGAGACATATAAGGCTTTCGCCTTAAAATATTTACTGGAACACGCTATTGGGGACTAAGATGCTAGCTTTAAACTCATGGAGACAACAACAACAATGACGGGCACTTGGCTGCGTCATTTTTTTTTGTCTCATTGTTGTGGTCTCTGCTTAGCATTGGGGCCCCTGGAGTTTTTGGTGCACGATGCGAATAACGTTATCACATTTTGAAGGAAGTAACGAAAATGCAAGTAGTGATTTTCCAGATGCATGGTGGCGCGGACCTATGAGGAGCTATGAGTTCAACGATGTGCGCATAATGTGTGAACATACCGTTTCAATTGTTCAATCTTCTTGCTCACATTGTAGTTTTTAGGTCGCATCGTTTTCTGGACTTTGTCAGTCAAGAAAAGTCTTTAGTTCGCGTTGGCTGTACCACGTTTCAGCTGAAGGTCACACGCAGCCGACGGTGAGTCTGGACTGAAGCTAAATCAGGCAGCGTCACATGCGCAAGCCTTTTTCGTTTATGATTGGTTGAGCGATAATGGAACACATACAGAATCAAGACGAACATCAGGGGGCTGAACTTTTTACAGTGTCTTATTTGCCCATCAGGTCGTAGCGTTGCCTGCGCGTCCGGACTTAGGGTGAAACGAAGTAAAGCAAGCTGGATACACTGCAGGAAACTAAACGAAGATGCTTTTTAACTGTTTTATCACATGGTTTGCACGTGAAAAGCCGTCATAAGGAACCGTCAAAAAGTCCCGCCAGGAGCACCCGTCACGAGGACCCATCGAAGACCCCTTATTAAGTACTGTCGTGAGGGACCATGACGTCACGTGACACCATGACGTGATCATTACGTCGTCACGTTAAAATGTCACATGAGAACATAATCACGTTATGTGGTCGTCAATATGACGTCATATTATGTCGTTACGATGTCGTCAGGATTACATCACGTCATGTTGACATCAACATAATGTCAATGTGACGCCGGTTTGACGACACAGGGACGTGATATTTACGTCATTAAAATGCCATGGTTCACGTGACGTCACAATTCCTTGTGACGTCATCGCGATGTCTCATGACACCAACAAATTGTCTGATGTTTTGAGGTCACGTGACACCTTGACGTTACGTGGCCCGATGTCGTTGTATGACGTCACGGTCGTTTGATATCGTGGAGTCACGGAACACAATGAACTCGCATGATATCACGTGACTCTGTGAGTTCACGTATTCACGTGACGTCGTTACGTAATCTGATGTAATACGCACTTTACACCTGATGAGCTAACTGACAACATTTTCAGTGCTTTGTGGTCTTTGTGAGCACAACCAGTATAGAGCAATTTTGCTTTCGTAGAGTGCATCACATACTTTCATTCGAGATCATGCTTCTTGGTTGTGACTTAACAATAAAATGTTTACCTTGGTCATACTTTTAGAGCATAAAATAATTACTTTGGTTGTAATTTTACTTCAAGTGAGGACCGTTTCTACGTTAGGCGCTTTGTTTGAAGTGCGTTGGGGTGTGTGCAGACATTCCTGTTTTTTTGTATTATTGCATCATTATTGCATCGTGTCCCATCTTCGCCCAGCACTGGCCTCCCATTGATGGCGTCAATAACCCAACGCTATTGACCTTGGTATCTAAGGGATGTTGCCCGATGGTGCATGTGCTCCGGAACTTGCGGGGGTAGAGGTAGTGACTTGGGCCTGGCTACATATCATATGTAACGAACAGGTTTTATGATCGGTATCAGGAGCACAATGGAAGCTTGGAGTCCCCGCATTTCTTAACCAACCTTGTGACCGTCGACAGATTGACGCTCTTAGATTTCTCTTAGTTTCGCAGAGGAAAGCAGAATTAATCCCGGTAGCCACAGCGATACTTTTGGTTGGGCACGTCACTAATACCTACTTGTAGGTCGCTCTGGCCTCTAGGTGTCCGTAGATGTTGTGCACATCGTAATGCGCCGAGATGTGATGGCGGTCGCTCATGCACAGAGTCTTGACAGAAAGGGATTCTCCTCCAGGGACGTACGGGGGATGTTCGAGGCGGCTGTCTTCGGGACATCCGCCGGCATGGCCGTTGTAGAAGACGGACGGCTCGTTCATGTCCTGTGTGCGAGGGTTGTTATAGTCCTCGATGCATACGCCCCAAGATTACCGCAAGACTTTTGTCTTTGATTAGTTTATTTTCATTTCGATTTATTAATTTCTCGCATAGTTAGCAATGGTGGTTTGAGGAGAGGAGACAAGCTGCAAAAGTCTAGATTGACAGAGCCGGCGCCCTGCATTTGGCACATTGGCAAGCTGAATTGTAATAAAGACCTTTAGAACCAGAAATATGAAGTTGTACGCTAACATATAAAGGGCGTTAACGGTTTACAGAAATCTTAATGTCTACAAGAGCAATGGTGAAGCTGACAAGCTAGAAACTATATCAGCTGTTCAAAGTGTAGGCATCTAGGCGCCGCTGCCATTGCCCTGGAAATTCTATTAACCCTTCGACACATAGATATCTGGGTTGCGTGACTGCAATCGAATGAATTAACGTATATGTGCGGTTTGTTTGCCACAGGCGGCCCTCCTCTATATTTTTGCTTTGTAACTTGTTCTTGAAATCTCAAAATTTTAGCTGGTGTAACTTTTCCCGTCACTAGAAATTTCATTTTTTACAACTTTAATCAGCTACAGACATATATCGCGCCGCCATGACAGCCTCTACATCTCTGTATGCGTGAAATATGCTGTTCCGATTGCAGGATATTCAAAAGTCAAAAGGGTCATCAACGTCCCCTGCAAGTTGCATCATGCTAGACTTGTTGAGCAATATTTTATAGTCAGAATTGCGGGTCAAACTTGAGCGACCCTTGCAATGAACTTAGTTAAATTACCACCTGTCTATTTGTATTAAAAAAAACGTATTTTTAATAAAAAAAGTGTTATGTGTAATGATGTTCTGCAGATCGTAGACTACGAACCAAGGTAAGGTATAATGTGCGTAGCTATCGTTTTATTATGAAGGTAGTTTAATATAGTATAATAAAAACTTTCTGTTTTGTCGTCATTTCACTAGCCTTTGTAAAATTATCTAACTTTAACGGAGAATATAGTACATGCCGAAGGGGATTACACAAAGTAAAAGTTACTCGCTTTATTAGTTTACTGTTTGCGTTAATACTTTACAGTTTTTAAAAATCTATTAAGAGTAGATATAACTAAAATCTCACCCATATTAAGTATTTTGCTTGCATGTTTGTTTAAAGAAACATTGTCTAGTGCAGAAGCTACGAAACATCGTTATACATATTTGTAATTCAATACTGGAAAAATAAGGACCACGTTTTCCAAAATAAAACATCGATTTTAGCTTTTGCCTAGGGCTTCGATAATGTTTATTGCTTAGTAACGTGTTCATTTCTACTCTAAATCGTTATTCCGTGTACACGAAGCCTCCTGCATCCTGATTTAGTAAAACCTTTTTTGGTATATTCTAGTTTTAATTATTTCCTTAACAAGGAAACTTGAAAAGAACTAAGATCGCGCGACAGTTTTTTTTAAAAATATATATTGATAAATAAAAAAATGAGATCATATTCGAACATTTCGTGCTATGTCAAACGCTGGAACAAATAGAAGTTCTTTTTTTGCTCTCTAATTCTTAAGTTTCTTACAACGAATTTCGGTTAGTTCAATTTACATCTTGGCATTGAAAACTCGGGGCATTTAAACAAATACACAATATATAACCCTTGGAGTTTTTTGTTTCGCTGAAGACCGCGTTCCGTGAGTGCTTTTTTGGAAAGCAGTTAGTTTACTTACAATCCAGGCTCCATCAAATGGCACCAAGTCGTGGAAGTTCTTAAACTGCGAGATCCAGTATTCCTCCGCCCTCGGATGTGAAAAGTCAGGAAACACGCTGCTGTTGGCATTCCAAACCTGAGCAGAAAGTACAAAGCCAATAACTTCAAATAATTTTTGCATTTCATTTTAGCTTATCAAGTTATCAGCCATCGTCACTTTTTTATCACTGTTTATTTTTTTAGTGCCCTGAAGGGAATTAAATGGCCGGGTGTGTTTACTCACCCCAGCTGGAATCACGTGGACTGGAGGCCAGCGTTGCAGAACCCAAAGATACCTCACTGAATCTTACACCTACCCGTTTTGATCTGGATGAGCATCTTATCCGCGAGGGGTCCTGCGCCAGCACTTCGCGATTCACGGTAAAGAACCCAGGCTAGGAGTAATACTGCACTGGGTCAATTTATTATCTACTGCGGCGATACCAGGCCCATGTTGTGGCTCCCGCTGCCTAAACACAGAGAAAACAATTAAATGTTTTTCAACAACCAAATGTTTTTGATATTGGCACAAAAGGAGCAGTCCCCAAGCAGATGGTCAAAACTGCTCTATTACTAAAAAGGAAATATTACTAGAAAGGAAAAAGGAAAAAAGGAGTGCGCACGGCAGCCTTAGCGCAAGCGTGGCGCTAAATCCGCTGCAGTTTTTTGTGCAGTGCGTGATGTTGCTGCATATCCCGGTTTCATCGATGGCTGCTCGTGATTCAGCACCGGTCCCATTCGTCCTGCCTTCATCGTCCGAGTTCATCACCAAGCTGCAACTGTCGTCATCAACAGCGACCAATCCAACTTCATCTACAGTGGCGACACCGCACATAAAAGAGAGGATCAGGCAACGTCTCGACAGTGGGCACGGCAGCCTTAGCGCAAGCGTGGCGCTAAATCCGCTGCAGTTTTTTGTGCAGTGCGTGCTGTTGCTGCATATCCCGGTTTCATCGATGGCTGCTCGTGATTCAGCACCGGTCCCATTCGTCCTGCCTTCATCGTCTGAGTTCATCACCGAGCTCCAACTGTCGTCATCAACAGCGACCAATCCAACTTCATCTACAGTGGCGACACCGCACATAAAAGAGAGGATCAGGCAACGTCTCGACAGTGGGCACGGCAGCCTTAGCGCAAGCATGGCGCTAAATCCGCTGCTATTTTTTGTGCAGGTTGGTAGACCCTCTTCTATGGTTAAAAGTGACTATCTATGTCTATTCGTTCTGCCGTGCCCCAAAACTTGTCTTGAGTGCATTGTTGAAATGTTAGACACGGTTTGTCTTTTATTGCAATTATGTGGCGGCGTGGAACAGAATCCCGGACCACAGAATTCCGGACCGACCGTCCAAGAGATGTTGGCTCAAGTTCTTGAAAATCAGACCCAGATGACGAGGGAGCTATCAGCGATAAAAGAAAATCAGAAACATGCAGAGAATCAGGTTCAGCGGTTGAACGAAAAGTTGGCTGCTATACAGGTGAAAATGTCTGTCTTGGAAACGACTGCAAATCAGTTTCCCGCCCATCAGCACAAGATATCTTTACTTGAAAACCTAGTCGCAAAAATGGATGACAGAATTGATGATCTCGAAAACAGGAGTCGACGCAACAACATTATCGTTTACGGCGTTCCTGAGGCAGCCGACGAGACGGCCGAACCCCTCCAGAGTCAAGTCTTGAATGGCATTTTTGGTGAAAAGCTCGGGGTGTCTATTACAAGTACGGAAAGATTGCACCGTATTGGTAAACAAACGGATCATAGACTGAGGCCTGTTATGGTGAAACTTTTCAATTTTTCCGAGAAAACGCTTATTTTTGAAAACCACCGAAAACTGAAGGGCTCGTCAATATCTGTCTCTGAGGATTTTTCAAAAAGATTACGCGGCATTCGTAAGAACTTGTGGAACAGTGCTGCCGAAAACCGTTCAAGGGGTGATAAAGTCAATATAGTGTACGATAAGCTCAAAATAAACAACACGCTTTAAGTTTGGGATTTTGAAAGGCAAACGACGGTTCCAATGAATCAGCGGATTTCAGAACAAACCAACTGACAGTCTAAGCGAAAGTCTGATGATGGCATAAAACTTATTAACCTAAATGCAAGAAACGTAAAAAATAAAACTGTCGACTTAGAGCATGTATTGCTTTCACATAAACCAGATATCATGGTTATTACAGAAACGTGGCTAACTGATAACATAATGGGTTCGGAAGTGGATCCACGCGGATATAAAATAATACGGAAAGACCGAGATACACGGGGCGGGGGCGTGGCGATAATCTTAAAGGAAAATATACGTTTTCATCGCATGCCTGATATGGACGGGGTGGAAATCTTGTGGGTTCGTGTTAGTGTTTATTCTACTTCCGGTATTGTTGGTGCTTTTTATCGTCCACCTGGCAGCGACAATTCTTTTGAGGACATTAATCAGTATCTGTTAACAAACGTACACTCAAGTTCAAGGATCATCTTAGCTGGAGATTTTAATCTTCCTAATATCCAGTGGGAGGGCACGCAATCATCCTGCAGTATCTCAGAGGCGTTGATTGAGTTAACATTATTCCATAATCTTGTTCAGATAGTAAACGCACCAACGAGGGTGTCAGATAGAAGGGAATTGATTCTTGACTTAGTTTTGCTTTCTCAGAATTTGGTGGAAAGAGTGAAGGATGTTGATACTTTAGGAGGCATTTCGGATCATAAAATGGTATATCTTACTTTGTCAGCTACAAAAATTGTTAAAAAAGAACGACAAAAAAAAAAAAAAAAGAATACTATGACTTTTCTAGGGCAGATGATACTGGTCTTATTGATTCAATGTCTTTTTTGTTTTCTGAGTTCTCAAGCTCATCTCTCATGCCAGAACCAGATGTCAATTTCCTATGGAACTTTTGTCAAAGGCTTGCTATAGAGGGCATTAATAAATTCGTGCCGAAAAGGGAGAAGGTCTTGAATAAACAGAACCTATGGATAACCAGAGAAATTAAATATCTGCGTCGTAGGCTTTCTAGGCTAAGAAAGCGAAAGCGAGATGCGATCCTCATTCACAACATAAATAGTGAACTGAAAGAAAAAATCATAGAAGCAAAATATAGGTATTTTAACGTAACTTTGACTGATTTCGTCCAAGCTTCACCTGAGAAGTTTTGGCTCTTGTCGCCGACGAGGCATAATGTGAATAAAGTTACTGTTAACGGCCAGAACGTTGATGACCCTCTTTCAAGGGCTAGTGCCTTCAATGATTATTTCAAGTGTGTTTTTACCGTAGATGATGGGCTAGGACATGCTTTCGAGCCGGCAGCCAACTAAACTCAAAACAGAAATTCCTTACCTAATATCGTTATATCGGAAGAGGGCAACTTAAATATCCTTTTGAATATCAATGTTAAAACTGCACTAGGCCCGGACTGTATTCCTAATGAATTTCTGAAAAGATACGCCGAGTGGTGTGCTAAATATTTGGTTGTCATATTCCGATGTTCATTAATTACCGCCACTGTCCCTGGGGGGTGGAAAGTTGCCCAAATAATACCGGTACCTAAATTGGGTGACTCTAAACTTTGTGTGCACCCTGGCGGCTCCCAAGCCAAGTTGCCCGACTGCGAGGCTCAAGCCGTACTTTTCCCGCGTGGCGGCGACGTCACGCCAGCCACGCGCACATCGGATGCGCCGCCTTGATAAGGCAGATCAGAGGCGGCGCACGGAGAGTCGCTGCCTGGACTGCGGCAGCGCCGGTAGCAATGTTAATTGTCTTGTCCAAGTCCAATTAAATGTAGTTTCTTGTTGTTGAAACCGTTGGCTCCGTGTTATTCCTCCGGGTCGGGTATGCAGCAAGGCAAACCGACCACAACTTATATCCAATTATCGACCTGTTTCTCTTTTGAGCACGTGTAGTAACATTCTAGAACATCTGGTGTTCAAGCACGTATCGTCCTACCTCGAGTCTAATCATTTTTTACCAGCATTGAGCATGGATTTCGCAAGAAAGTGTCTACAATTACGCAACTAGTTGAAGTTGTTCACGAGTTCGCCACAGTAATTAACAAACGGCGTCAGATAGATGTAATTTATTTAGACTTTTCGAAAGCTTTTGATCGCGTATTCCACATAAGGCTGTTAAACAGCTGAGCACAATTTTAAACAACAATCAAATATTAAACTGGATTCAAGATTACCTGTCTCATCGGCGACAATATGTGCAGTTGAACACCGCACGCTCTTCATTTGTTCATGTCTCTTCGGGTGTCCGTCAGGGATCAGTGCTAGGGCCATTATTGTTTTTAATATTCATTAATGTCATTCAGACCGGAGTTCCTGCCAAGTTGCGACTGTTTGCAGACGATTGTATTCTTCTTCATGGAATTAAGAGTTCCAGTGACTATGAAATACTACGTTCTTCTTTAGAAAAATTTCATATGTGGTGCAAAAATTGGCAAATGTCACTTAATCTTACTAAAACTGTGTGCATGTCTGTCACTCGAAAAAAGAATCCTATTTACTTTGACTATGCAGTCGGCAGTCATAATCTACCTAGAGTGTCCCCTTGTAAGTACCTCGGTGTCACTATAATGTCTGACTTAGTTGGAATATGCATATTGGCCAAATGATCGCAAGGGCGATAAATAAACTGGGATTTTTGCGCAGGAATTTTAAACATGGGCCAACTGATACTAAGTTGTTGTTATATAAAACGTTTATTAGGCCAATTCTAGAGTACGCTAGCAGTGTGTGGGACCCGCACACGACTTCTAACATAGTTAATTTAGAAAGGGTTCAGAGACTTGCAGTGCAATTTGTTTTTAGTATGTATTCTTCTTATGTGTCCCCCACAAACTTGTGTGCTAGAGCAGGACTCCAAACGTTACAGGAAAGAAGGAAACAAAATCGTCTGAAATTCCTTTATTTAATTGTTAGCAATGAGCTGGGAATAGACAAGAATCAGTACATTGAATTTTTTTTTGTCCTAGAGTATCCAGATATTCCCATCAGAAGACACTTAAACCATATAATTATAAAAATGAATCATTTAAATATTCCTTCTTTCCTAGAACAGTAATTGACTGGAACAACCTGCCACCCGATGTCGTCTATGCAGCCACCTATTCAGATTTTTGCAACGTTTTGTGTAAATGAGTGCATCATGAAATATTTGTATCTATGTGTTTTCCACTCCTGCTACGACCTCGAAAGAGGTTAGCAGTATGAATAAAAAAAACCTACAGAGAAGAAATTTTAGCAGCAAGATTTATAAAGTGCCAACAACACATAAGTTACAAGCAGTTTAATATCAAGGGCTTGGAAAATAGGTGAAAATACTTTTTCCACTTTAGTGTGTTATATTTGGCTTTGCCCACGGTGTCGTGAAGTATATACTACTGCGTTAAACGGTCATTTTATCTTGATTTTGTTAGATCGAAATAGGAGTGGGCATTTTTAATCTGGAATCATCATTCTACCCTAGCTAAGAACGTTGAGCATATCTGAATGCGTGGTGAACTTCTTATTTAATGGGATTACTTGCGTTTTTCGACGGTTTGCCAAATAAAATACGGCCTACATTTATGCCTGACCTTCCTATCTTTTAGAGCAATTTAAACCTGTTTCTACTGCGTAAAGCCTCCTGTCCCCTCATTGTCCATCACTTCCCCACTAAGTTTTCTTATTCGCTTGAATATTGAAACAATATTGTTATATCACCGTGTTTTATTTTCACAGCATAGTAACCCTATAACTTACTCGAGGGAATTATAGATTCATTCATAATCCTGCAAATATAATATTAATCGAGCCTCTCATCGTAACTTGTAAGGTGATTTCCTGAATTGTAATCCAGTCCCCTCGTCAATGCATTAGTGCAATGATGGCACTGTGAAAAAAAAAATAATGAACAGGCATTGTTGTTCATTGTCAGCACATGCTTGTAGTATGTAAGCGATGTTTTCATATTATCTTAGTTAAGCAGTACTTTCAAAACAAGCTCAACTTTTCAGATTATAACTATTTGCCGTTTCTGGAGTTTCGATGGGTGCTTTTTGTTATTGAAAAGTGGTAAGCCTTTTTTCGTTGAAAATTTCAATGGGAAATGGGGAAGCTCTATGGCGAAAATGAGTCCCATTTTCCTTTAAAAATTTGAGATAATCGCTAATCATTTTTTTCTTCAGATAACGGTTAATGATTAAGCTTTAGCATCAGGTTTTGGTTTCTGCCAGTACCTTTGGGTGGATAATGAGCGTTCCGCAATGGACAGTTCAGTTTTGCAATGAAACACTACATTCTTTTGAGGAAAAACTTCACAGATATACGTCTATATCTACATATTTACAGGGTATTCCACCTTAAGTTGCGCCAAGTTTTAAAAATATTTTGGCGCAATTTAGGAGACGAAACCAAACGAATAAGTATGTTGTCAGGAGCATGTCAGGCCTTTTTGTATTTTGCTAAATTAAATAAATTATTGATATTAATTATTTACTTTTTTAAATATTAATTTTAGAGCAAACGTTGCTATCACAAAATTGTAGAGCGCCATCAGAACGATCCAATGCAGTGGTCTTTATCAAGAAACCTTGAAACGTTTTTTTATAGACCAAAACGCGGCCCTGGCTTCACACAGCTGCGGTGGCGCTGTCGACGGCGTAGCGCATGCGCAGACGCTTCACTTCACGCGAATTCGGTTTCTGCGCACGCGCAGTGCCCACACCTGGTGGGGGCAAACGCGGGCTTGTTTGTAAACAGCGTGTTGGTCTATAGGCTTCGAAAAATGTTTCCGAATTACAAAAAAAAAGCGTGTGACTTTGCTCATGTGCACCTTGTATTGCAGCGCTCCCATTTGCGGCTTCAATAATCTAGGCCTGCCTGCTGAATAGAGCATTTTTGACTGAGCGCTCTTAAGCAATACGTGTTTTTTTTTTTTCATATTTTGGGCATTTTATTTGAAGCCTGAAAAACGAATTATGTTAGGGGATACTTGATAAAGGCCACTGAATTCGATGTTTCTGAGAACGCTTTGCAACTTTGTCTTTGTAGCGTTTGCTCTAAACTGAATAATTAAAAAGTTAAATAATTTATTTTATTAATATTTTAATTGGGCAAAGAAGGAGAAAAAAGCCCGACATGCTCCAAACAATGCCCAACCTTTTTCGTTCAAATTTGTCTTCCTGAAATGTACCAAAAAGTTTTAAAGCTTGGTTCAAATTACGTGGAATACCCTGTAAATATATACCGGGTATTCCATTTTATTTCGATGAGATTTGTTACAAAACATTCGTAAAATATGAACTAATACTGTTTGTACTGGTGAGTTATACGGCCAAGGGGACATTACTTGGTTGGCTAATCTTTGGGAGAGTCGGATAATTTACTAAACTTCCTTAACTAACTTTTTAAGTAGTAAAATGTTCATATGGCTTCAATTTGAAACATGCAGAGCATAATTGAAAACCACTATATCAGTCGATTATGTTATTCATTGATGTTAGACTCAATGCGTGATTATAATTACAAGAGTAAAACGGGCGGATCAGTTCTTAATAAATTCACGTGAGTCAGTAAAATAAAAGGTATTGTGATCTGAGATGGAGGCTTTATACTGTAGCTTTGACCACACTAATATTTTATAAAAAATACTTGTAACAATGAAGGGACCACAGGAAAATTACGTTTGAGATAACAAAGCGTATGGCTAGCGTTATTAGCCACGCGAAGGCATTGATTGTGAAATTCGGACAATACATGAAGAAACACCCTCTGTATCCAATGATTTAAAAACGCGAAGACTTCCCAAGCTTTTGCTTCGCAGCCAACGTTATTTCATAGTTTGAACGTAAGAGCAACGCGGAACAAACCACAAGGTAAAAAGGTGAAATTACTAAGTCCCGCCCTGCATTTCTTAGAGTTTCAGTGATTGTAATTACTTTTATATTCGATTTAACGCGAATCACGACGATATATGCACTTCTCTTTGCATGATGGCACGTTGGGGTTTCAAGTTCAAGCTCTTTAATCTGTTTACTCAGTCGCTCAAAAAAAAAAAAGTTTGGCTTTAGTTTTGATGCAGGTTCTGGGTGTTTGTGTAGAAAACAAACAAAATAATCAAATAAAGTGAGCGAGAAATTATTTTAGCGAACCAATTATACTTTTGCAAGTTCCAGTGACTTTCGCTTTTGACGTTGTTTGATCGGTGCCATCATGTTGTGGGCTGCGTCCAGAATTAAGGTGAAACGTAGTATGGGAGTATATGTTTCTGAACAGGCCCAGCAAGTCAACCTAACTTACTTGCTGCACGCGTCGCTCACCTTCCCGTACACGACGCTCCCAGAGGCATTCTTCACAAAAACGTCCAGTTCCATGCCTCGGTCGTAGGGAGGATAGGTTCCTGCAGGTTCCGAGCCGCTCACTGCAGGGTCCTTTGCAAAACGGAAATTCGTAGTTTTTATTTGTTTGTTCTTAAGTCCGCTTGGTATTTTAATAAATTAGGTGATGCGCCGAACTGTTGGAGTGTGAGGTTTTATCAGTGTGAGTCTATCATAAATTATTAAAAGATCGCAGCCCGAAATTTTGTAATAAAACAACAACAACAATGAACCGGGTTAAACTGTGTAGCACACAAAGAATGATACTTCCTTATTATCGTGCCCAAAAATATATTTTTAAATATCGTGCCACCAGGGCACGCATACCACTGAATAAAAAAAAAACAACAGAAAAACAAGACAGGCAAAAAAAAAACACGCTAAAATATGCGATGGCGCACAGCTTGCACATAATAACGAGAAAAAAAAACTGTCTATTGTGCGTGTGACTTTGTTTCATTTTTTTATGCGCTATGTTTTGTTATTTTGAACAATATCCAACTCGCCCAGCTCACCACAATAATGCAGCAATAATTCACCCGGATATAGGAAATCCCGAAAGCTCGACATATTTTGAATACGTTATTTGTGTTCAGGAAAGCAGAATTAATCTTCCCGCATGCCTTCATACACTGACCCCCCCCCCCTTTCCCCCCTCCCCCCTCCCCTCCGAAAACAAGACAAAAACGATAACATTAACAAACGAATACTAGTATTTTGAGTGTCTTTCTATGTAGGTAACAGTAGACTCATCTTAAATAAGATGAGAGCGCTAATGTAAGTTCTATTATTTTTTTTAGTAGGTCTCGTTACAAATCCTCTTGCATATAGAAAATCTCCAAAGTTCGAAACGTTATGACTGTTCTGTATAACAGCATAAACTCCGGCGATTCTCCTACTGCATCGAATTCCAATAGCTGGAATGACTTCTTCACTAGCCAAGAAGACGTAACACATGAACCAATGTATGGCTCACTGCAAGTATGCGGACACCTTTGGATGCTCACACAAAGTGCACTTGGATAATACTGGCAATTCAGACGCCATAGCAAGACCAGCAAAAAGTTTCATAATTTCTATAGCTTCACTATCATACGCTAGTAATTCCTAAACATATAAAAATAATAGAACATCCAGACAGTTTTACACGCGGATTACTACTTTACATTTAAAACAATATTATTACACTTCCAAACCCACACGCCATCATGAACGTCTATGTCATTCTGTAGCTTCATAAGTAAAAGCGTAACATTCTCACACCTACAAAGAATCCAGAAAGTTCAAGTACACTGTCTTTACTAGCGAAGTTAAACCTTCCAAAATATAAAGCTAACTCAGGAAAATCGATCAATCTTCGTGTACAGAAAGCGTCTGAGAGGCATCGGCACGGTCGCTAAGGTACCCGCTGCAAAACTCACGAGGATGATGACGTAGTGACGGCCACCGGCCTGCAGCTCGTCCACAAACTCTGGGAGTCCACGGAACTGGTGAGGGTCGTAGGTGAAGTCGTTTCCATCGTTCATGTAGTCGATGTCATTCCATTGCGTGTCCTGCACAAATAAAAAACCGAGCGTTATTATGATGTCAAATAACAGGGTCAGGGAATGTGTTGAACGGAAAATGCCAGCTCGCAGAGTCGCCTCGCAGATATTGCGGCCACGTGACTTGAGGTCACATAACGGGGTGACGCCACGTGACATTAATGCTGCCGCTAAATTTGGGGGGGTAATTGATATTACGCCTTGAGTTTACATGACGTCAGTTTCTGAATTAAAGTCAGCGGGGAAATTTACGTCACGTCGCGACGAAGTCACATGACCTGGTCACGTGACAAATTTCCCGGTTAAATTTAGCGGTAGTTTTGACGTGACGGTTCTTACTGACCTTCCTTTGGGACTCTTCTTCGTGATGGTTCTGAATGACGTGTTTTTTTATGAAATTGGGCTGAAAAAACACATTTTGTCCTAAAAGGTAAAAGGACTGTTCAGGACTTCTGACAAAAAAGCTGAAAACGAACAGAAACATGAGCGGCGAATGCTTGTTTATTTTCAAACAGGGGTTTGTTTTCTGCCTGTTTTATTCCATGTCTGTGCGTGTTAGACGAAAAGAAGGGCGGATATGAATATGAGTTAGAAAAGAAAAACACCCCCGCGACATTCGCTTAGAACATGAGTGTGCCCGGTTCATCTAGTACTGATTGAAAACGAGCGTGTTTGTGAAGATATACGAATACTTGAATGGTCAAAACATATAGACCTTTGCAGAAACAGCTCGCTATCCGCCGCCATTTTGCGACTCGAGCGACCCCTATCAGCCAAAAATTCCTGCCACCCGCCTGAGCTGTGGAAACCCGGTCAGCGCGACTCCCCAGCTGCATTGTGTGTTCGGAGTTCGCCGGCTTTCCTTGTAAGTGTTTACTCTATTTGCCTGTTCAGGATGCTTGCGTGTTTTTGTAATCTTCCACTGTGAGAACCAGGGAATACCAGGGTTTGTAGCCTGCTGGACCTTCGCAGGAAACGAACGAAGAGAGCGAGCGAAGAAAGCGAACGTCAAGCAGGCCGCGACGCGGGCCGTTCGACGTTCTTTGAGGATTATTAGATTACCGTTGAGATAATCTCCGAAAAGCCTTCCCGGTTATGTTCCCGGTCTTGGCGAGAAGTAGCTGATAGGGTCCGGGGTAGGGGAACTGAACACACACGTTGGTTCATTTGCTTTAGTGCTGTGTAAAAAAAAACATCACTCTTCAAAACGTACCCCCAAGACAAGCCGGATTCCGTCCGATCGTCGTGAAGTGAATATCGTCGACACTGTATATTGGATATGCTGTCACGTTATTTGAGACTTTTCTCAAATCCTGTTCGGATAACGCGGCACCCTGGGGTACGTACAATATATGGTGTTCGATTGACGAGACTCGTTGAATTTCACATAGTGAGCGGGCAATACCCATGCGGTTCGGCTATCCTCTGGTGTGGTCAAATATGTTAGGCAGTTAAGATCTTTGTAGGTTGACACGGCTGTGTGTATGGTGCCGTTTAAAGGATCAGCATAAAATGAAACAAGCATCCCAGTTGCATTCGTTCTGTCGCGTACGAACTCGCCGAAAATAGCTTTCATTTGTTTGTTTTTGTTCCCAAAAATAGTTAAACGCTTTCTTAATAACTCCGAGAAATTCTCTTCGCCATAGAACACAAAAGAAAAAATAAAGCGAGGCGATTTTGCCGCCACCAGCGTTCAAAATTGCTCCTACGCAGGCTGCCACAGCCTACTGACGAGAAAACCCACAGCTCAGCGCAGTCGGGCAACACTAACGTACACTTCCAAAACCAGGGACGCGCGCTGGAAATCGCTTCGTTCGAGACTGCCGCTGGAAAGGTCTATAGGACGGGGACGGTAACAGGACTTTTCTTTTTTTAGAAGAAGTCTTGCTTTGTTCCCCGTCCTCCATATTTTATCCTTTCAAGTATTCGTACCTAGTCGTCTGTTCTAGTTGTGTTCTCCGAGCTATAAGTTAGTGCGTGATTGGCATCTCACGCTAGAACCACTTTTTTCGCACTTTGGTTCAGCCTATTTTTTTAGCTACTTTTAGCTATATTTACCGGATATTTTTGGTTTTTTATAAAAGTGTGAACTCACCGAACACCGTCGTAACTACATACTCTATAAGAAATATCTTCGGCTATCATATGTTCTCTGGTTTTCCGCCAATAACTTTCGTTCAATTAGCATTGTCAGTGTGCAATATGACCCACCCCCTCTGCAATTGATTCAGCAGTTTGATACTTTAAACCTTGTTATACACAAAAAAAGGGGCACGGGTGGTTAAAGCAGACACCTTTTTCCTGCAAGGCTTGTCAAATTATGAGGCGCTGGAAAAAAACAGACTTTTGCACTAAGTCCTTATTTTGAACTATTTTTTTTCGCGTTCAGCCAATAGAAAAGCATGGTTCAAGCGCCTCAGCACACACCTGGTATCACTGTGCCTCAGAGTTCTTCCGCAGCAAAAAGGCCGTCTGCTTTCATCGTCGCCACTATGGCAGTCTATGGCTGTAGCTGTAGTGTTAGAGCCATAGTTCCGAGATGTAACGAAGTCGTTGGGCATCGGCGTCGCAATCACGAAGCGTGGGTCAGTAGTGTGCGTTAACAAAGGCGTTCGGAACAAAATAGACATGCGTGAGTGAGAAAACGTTTTAATGATTCTTTATAATGCGGTAGAGAAGACCTGAATCAAGGACGATCACCTGCGCCCGTTTTTCTGTAGAGAAGAGGAGGTGGAGTGATTTTTTCGCTGACGATATACGCTATGGTATGGTCAGGTCTAGGGAGGGGTGGTGGAGGACGAGTGGAAGCAAATGCTAATGAAGAGGGAGGCCATGTCCAGGGGCCAGACCAGGTCGCTTGCTCCGCAGTATCCAGGGGTACCGTCGATGGCATTGATCCACTACCGAGGGATGGAACGGGATAGCTCCTCGGTGGCGGCTCGGTCGGCTGCTTCATTTCCTGCGATGCCTGCGGTCCCGTGATCAATGCTGGTCTTTGCGTTTTTGGTGCTTGCGAGACTCGCGACAAGTCGGGAGTTCTTCCCGATGATGTGATTAGTTTCGTGCTGTGTTCCGCCACTCAGTGAATATTCTCAGGGTCGAGTCGCTGTCGGCGCTTGGATCAGCTCCCCCCATGACCTCTAGCACTGTAGCACTGTCAAAAGTTTTGCCTTCTGCGTGGTCGATATCTCCTTGTGGTCGAGGAGTTTGGCTTCAGTCATTCCTGTGCTCGGAAGGTGCCGAGCTGTCGCCGCTCAGATTTTGCCGCCATTTTTTTTTTGCATGTTGCGTCTCTGTAGTAGATCCTCGTTCCCCCGGCCGGGGTTTTCGTTTCATTGTCGAGTCTGTCGCATACTTCGCTCTTCTCTTAGGGTTGGGGACTGCGTTCATCATGCGCGGAATGGGGTGATTTGGCGTCACTTGTTCCGGTACGGAAGAATCCGGGTTGGTGTTCCATCCATCTTTCGTCTAATGAGTTCTGCGATCGCCCTGCTCCGAGGAGTATGCATGAGGTTGAGTCGAAAGTTATATTTTCGCTGTGTCGTGATATCGCTGAGAGAAATAATCGGCACCGCCTTGCGCAGCTCATGCACTTGAGGAGCCCCAATATACATCTTATCATCTCATTCAAAAGGGTTTCCAACTTGTTTTTTCTGGTGGCTTCTGAGCTTGTAAACACACAATCCTACGCCATTTTGGATGCTGGGGCGGCCTGAACCATGGTCTTGCCACCCGCTCTCCGAGTCCGCCGGCACGCGTGGTAATTAGTCTCGCTACGGACAGTTCTTGTGAACAGTTATCTCCTATCTACGTTGTGGCGTCGAGGTGTCAGTTTATGATTACGTACACGACAGCGTGTTCTTCTGTCTTCTTAATGTCCATGCTGTTGAACGTGAGTAATACCCGGGCGCAACACCTTGTATTACATGAACGCGTTGACTGCGCTTAGCCCCATGTATCATGTCGGTCTGCACTTCTTCGCTCTTTTCAGTAATCGTTCATATAATAACATCTTCCGTGTGCACAGTGAAGGCCCGGTTCCGTATTTGAGCTAGTTTCCACAGCAGCGGGATCATGGCGATGTTGAAAATGGTCGGAGACTGGTCTGCACCCCGCGGGACCCCTACCGCGCTGTGCCGTTCGCTGCTCTCGTGCTCGAAAGACTTGACCATCTTCACGGTAGCGTGAGGGAGCGTATCGAATGACTTCAATAAGTCGAACGCCATTAGCATCTTCCCTTACTTTTGCAGTTACCTGGCTTCGAGCCCTTCGATATACGTGCCAAGAAGCCTTTTCCTGATAAGTACCAGGCTGTCGTGCGTGCCGAGTTACTTCATGAGGCCCGTATGCGCCGGGTGGAAGACTTCCTTTTCGTTGAGGATCTAGTCGATCCCTGACAAGATCAATCTTTTGACTGGTTTGTAAAGGACAGATGTGAGCGAGATTGACCTCGTGCTCTGCGGTTTGCCCACCTTCCCGGGTTTGGGAATCGGGCAGACCCCCAAGTAGAGTTTCCACTTATCCAAGGGTCCCCCCTCGCGCCAAATCAGATTGATCTGCTTGAGGAGCTTGCTTTTATGCGCGTCGTCTATGTTCTTGGACATTGCGTTGTCAACCCCGTTGGGACCCGCCGCGTTCTTTTCGTTTCCCATCTCTATGACCGCTTCGAGTTTCCAAGCGGTGAAATCCTACTAGTAGGACTCCAAGCTGTCGTGCTCCGGCTCATAGATGGCTTTGTTTGGTTCCGTTGCGGGTTGGGGAAAATAAACATCACCGGTCTCTTTCATTATATTGTCTACGCTCTTATTCGCGCGCAGAACAATATTCGGGGATGTGTTTCCTTTCGCTTCGTTGTGTTATACATGGCCTACATCCGTGTAAGGGACATGTGTTCGTTGAATGAGTCAGATATACGGAGTCGATTGGTCCCGCTTATCTTCGCCGCGCACTTTTGTGCTTCCTTTGCGAGCTGGTTAGCCTTCTTTAAGTATCGCTTTCTGCGGAACTTT